CGTCTTAGTGTCAACAGTTTTCTGACGGCACTGATGACACGTGGAGCCCTGGGGGAAAAAAAAAATAAAATACACACACAGAAACCTAAACTAGAGATGGGCGACAGGTGTGCTGACTTTTATAACATTTCATGCATATTCTGCCAATTTTAGACTTAAGTAATACAGAGGAATCGTGCAGCTGAGAACTCACTGTGACACTGTTGTAGACTTTATCAGTCATGTTGTCTGCGACCAGCTGAATCTCGTCCTCTGTGATTTCCTCCACAGGACGGATCTGATGAGGTTTGCACTGATTAGGCCGTGGGGTGCCACGGCGCTGTGGGGCTCTGCGTACCTGACACACAAAGACGATGATAACGACTTATTTAGCTTTAAGCTTTACACAGAAATTGACAAGTTAAAGAGTCAGTCAACAAAACACAGACCTACAACAAGACCAACACATGGCAGCTTCTAACCATTACACAGTATCACAAATAAAATGATGGATGGATTGGATGAAGGAATTTGGAAGTTAAAACACACATATACAATATTAAGACTCCAGGGGTCGGTTGCACCAACTGGTCTTTACTAAGCCTGGTCGTAACTCCTAAGACGGTCTTTGTTAAGACCAGTCTTAAGGAGTGGACTTACGCCGGTTGCACCAGCAGGGCTTACGCCTGGTCTTAGCTATGCTGGTTTTAGCTGTGCGCGTCCATGTGAATGCCCCTGGAATGCCCCACGCGGCCTGCCTAGAGGAGCCCGGTGACGTTAAATGATGCGCCGCTGAATCACCCTGTGTGCTTGACAGATGACAATTGACAGTTGACAGCCCCTCTCATCTGTGTTGACAGTTTATTTACAGTTTAAGATTTGAAGAAAACATTAAAGATCAATGAAAAACTTTACCGACACTGAAATTAGAAAATTAATCAAGCTGTACAGCCAGCAGAGACGTATCACAATTAAGAAAAAACACTCGGTATGGGCAGAGATAACGGGGCACATCAATACGTGTTCAGACTCTGGCTGCCTTCATACAGAGGCTGACATGAGGAAGAAGTGGAAAGATCTTCTCAGCAAGGCAAAAAATACATCATCTCCAAAAAAAATCATCCAACTGGCGGGGGTCCTCCCCAAAAACCTCAATTTACAGTGACATCATTGTTGACGTATTTGGGGAGGATTCCCCTGCCTGGTGGGAAGGCTGGTGGTAGTGCTGTGTTGCAGCCCAACACAAACTGTAAATTCGGTGACAGCTCTTCAATAAGTTCAAACTGATCTCTCTGAAACCTCTCAATCAGCTCCTCGTCATTATATAGGCTATGTCCAATTGCTTCTGTCCCTAATTACCCTCTCCCGTCTAAATGCCCGCTCGTATACAGACGGTGGATGAGACGTGCCATAACCAAGTTGCGCTCTCTGCGCTCTAGAGCGCATGAGAGCAGCTTGATAATGACCTTACGCCTGCTCTTGACTAGGCGTAAGATTTACGCCCGGTCTTAGAGAGAAGAAGGCTTACGCCCTGTTGGTGCAACCGGCGTAACTATAAGGTCGGACTTAGAACGCCAAGTTACGACCGACTTAGCTTAAGACCAGGCTTAAGACCAGTTGGTGCAACCGGCCCCAGATTTTCATTTAAACAACAGAGCTGACCTCCAGCAGCTCCTCCTCCAAGCTGAACTCCAGCTCTTCCTCCTTAGGGACTGATAGATCTTCACTTCCCCCCATAGAGCGGGTCTGTCTTCGAGAAGCTCGCTCTGGGTTCTTCCTGGACTCTCCTCCAGAGCGTGGTGGACGCTGCAGGCAATGGTAGATAAAATCATCTCAGTAGTACATCTATTTAGAAACACGATTATTCAAAATTCTACTGACTTCTGAAGAGAAAGAAGAGTGGCTAGCTTGTTACCCCAGCCTTACAATTTCGATTTCACTGTTGCAGACAAATTTCCAATGTCAGAGTAAAATGAGAGTTTTACCTCAGTTAGTATGTGATTGATCTCAACTGTTTGATGTAAGGTGGAAATTCAACTCAGTTCAAGCTGTTGTAAGTCTTTTTTTGATCTTGACATTCCAACAAAATCAAACATGTTTAACAAGCTTTTAGTCTTGGTGCATGCAAAGACTTAAGTTCAATGACATGAATATTGTCAACAACTTAAAGGTAGGGCTGTACCCTAATATTCAGATATTCGTTTCTATGGGTAGGTATTCGTTATGAAAATTTGGTATTCGATATTTGTTTTTTTATTTACTTTTTTTAAAAAAAATTTTTACATATTTTTTTGGTGCTAAATGTAGTCTTTTTGTTGTTGGTACATGTAGGTTATCAATAAAAATCAAAACTTTTAAACTGCATTATCAAAAATGTGAAAATATAGTATAGCCTACCAACAGAGCTTGTGCGCACGGCACGCTTGAGCTCATCCGTCTGAGGCTGTGGATCAATGCCAAGTTTTACCACTTTATCACTATTCCCTCTAACTTGTAGCTGTTTTTTCGTTATCTTTTGAATTTAATATGAATTATAGAACCGTTTTTGTCAACGTTTGTTTCCCCCGTTTTGTACAATAACTTATTGTTTAAAGTTTCAACAAGTTTCTTTTGGAAAGAAAGCATAGAATAATGTACTGAAGGAGACTGTTGTGCCAACACATTTTTTTGTGGTTTGAGAGCAAAGTTGCCGCTGTGCAAAACTCCGCAATACAATTAGGTCCAAAAAAACCCTGGAGTCCTCCAACGCCGCCCCGTGAGCAGAAACTGGTGGCGTTGTGGAGTGACCAAGAGTCGGTTAATTTGGTGTGTATCTGATCCCCCAACCTGCACTTATTTTAGTGAGAAATATTAATTTTTAAAACAGCCTGCATCTCATTCCCATGCTCTCTTCCCACTAAAATTACGCTAACCAACAAAGGCTGGTAGCGGGTTGAGCCAACAAAATCCAAATATTAAATTTGTACACAGATACAGTTTCTTTATGGATTTATGTTGAATTGACAAGAATACTGTTGCCATATACCTTTTATCTTGTGTTTCTAGAATTATGCATTTCTGTGGACACATATTTTTTAAAGGGAGTTTGGCATAATATTTTACAGCAGGAGCAGGATGGGAAACAATCTCAAAAGCAATTTGGTTACAGTCTTGGAAATCATGACCCTGCAAGATCTCCAGTCTTTGCAAAATCTTACATTGTATGAATAAAAGCTCATGGTCTTTAGATGTGAGAGGGTGTCAGACAAACTGTAGGCATTAGCCAAGTATGTTGTTCGACCTTTTGCTCACTCATATTAAATATAAATAACTGCAAAAACTCACACTGTGACAGAGATTTTTTTATCGTCTTGTACTCACAGAGCTCTTCTCTTTTGTCTTCTGTTTGGCCGCTTGTTTTCTCAGAATCCCTGCACCTCCTGGCATCTTCTGCAGGTCTGCCATCAGCTGAGCCAGCTGTATGAGAACAGAGGAGAAAAGGATAAGGGACACAGCAAATAAACATATTCTCGAGCCAGTCTAGCAGGGCAAACTTTTCAGCACTTGAAACTAAGCATTTTGGCATGGCACTAATGTCACAGTTTACTAAACGTTTTTCATATTGTCATGTCAAATCTAAAACCATTGATATTCATGAACCAAGTCAAAGCCATGTGTCCTGCAGCTATGACTTATGTCTATTTCTACTGTTCGAAAAGATCTATGATGGATAATATTAATAGCTCTCTCTTTGCAGTCACATGCAATGAAAGTACCTTAAGTCTGAACTTTAATTCTGTTTTGAACCCTAGGTATTCCTCTGCACAAGTCTGGGAACCACAACTTTGAATTCAGTTTGTTACATCAGCCTGTCAGTTTCCAAACATTACTACACTATGATGGCTCTGTGTTTCTTGTTTACCATTGCTTTGTTGGCCTTGATGTTCTGTTCTCTCTTGGCGAGGAACGACAGTGATACATTTTCTTCTGAATCAGATCCACGCTCTTTCGAGGGAGCCACTGCTGTCTCTTCATCATCAAATTTCACATGTCTGTTCTTCTTTGCCTGGCTGGTCTTTCCTGCCCGCTTCACCCCTCTCTTTTCTGTCATCTCTTCTTCCTTCTCATCATCATCAGTGCACTGCTGAGTAGAGGGAGTGGAGCGGAGGGCCACCCTCAGCCTGAAGGTTTGGGCACCGGAGGATGGTTTAGACATGGCTTTCTGATGCTTGGGGGAAAGGTCAGGCTGGGCTTCATCTTCGAAATCTGAATTCTGTTGGACATATCACAAATAGATGTGATTTCAAATCTGGCAAATGCTTAATGTCTTACACTTTTTCCAGTAAAACTGATCTGTTTTGTCAAAAGTTTGTGTTGTAGCAGAGCATAAAAAGCACAGCCTGTCAGATGCATTCAAGTATGACAAATCCCTACAAGGCAATATTCTTAATTTGAGAAAATTTAATGTTTTCCTAATTTGAGATGTAAATTAACACTTATCTTTCAAATCTAATGCTGTGTCTGGCAATATGGAGGTCTGAATTTAAGCCAAATTACTCACCTTATCACAGAGGTCGTTGATCTCACTGTCAGAAAAGCCATAAAATGTCCGCTCATTATCAGAATCCTCCGCAAACACATCGGCTAAAGCTAGCTTCTCTGTCATGGCGTTCATTCCTAAAACCCCCGCCTGAGAAAAGATACAACAACAAACTTAAAATTAATCTATATGACGTATTTAGTCTGATAAGTAAGTACAATTAAGTTACTTTACCATTTTTTTTCTGGATGCCCGCAACCTATTAGCTTCTGAAGTTTAGCTAGCTAACGTACCGCCCGCACACAGGTTCGTTACAATTAGCCTGATTGACAATTAGGTGTGCGTGTTTTGTAGCTCGAGGCAGCACGGATTAACAGGATCAGCCGCATACAATGTCGCTTTTTAAACTCCGCCCTCAAGGGGTGACCTGATAACTAAAACATGTCGCCTCTCAAGATTCAAAGACAGTGCCAAACACACAGGAAATGGCGTCTGGGCAGAGGTGAGTTTGTTCAGAGGTCAAGATAATATTCAGGTAAATAAATATTATGAGATTTAAAATGAACGTCAAAATTCGGAAAAAAAAGTAAAAACTGACAAGACAAAATATGTAGTTGTAACAATAATAGTTTGCAGTTATGCTAACAAGCTCACAATGACAGTGCTGAAAATGTTTAGCAAGAATAATGTGTTACCCAATGGGTTTACCATGCTCAAAGTTTAGCATGTTAGCATACTAACAAAACACACATAACAAAAAACACATAACAGCAAATTTTAAGTTGATTTTTTTATTACTGCATTTATAATTAACTGGAAATGATCATTTGGCCTAAAACTTAAATAGGATTTCATATGTTTTGCAAGACATAAGGGCAGAAATTCTGAGGAAAAAGTAGTTTTCAAGAATTCTCTCATAAACATCCTGTCTGTAGTGTCATGGATTGATTACTGAACGGGTCTACCAGGCACAGGCCTAGGGGCCCAAAGTGTCAGGGGCCCCCACTGGCCTTTACATCAAAATGTCACCAAACGTAAGACATACTGCCTGAAAAGAGACTCTAACTGACCACAAAGAAATGCAAAGGAACTGAAAGGACATGCAAAATAATGGCAAAAACGGGCAAAACAATTACAAAGAGACACAAAATGACCACAAGGAGACACAAAATTACTTCAACAGGCCACAAACAACTACAAAGATGCACAAAATGGAGGCCTAAAAAGACGAAATGTCCCTCAAGTCACACAAAACTACCAAAAGGAGACACAAAATGACCACAATAAGAGACAACACCTCAAAAGGATGCATAATAACTACAAAGAGATGCAAAGCCATCTAAAGGCTGTATCTTGCTCCTGTGAAGGAGATGTTGTGTGGTCCTTTGTATATCTGTGCTCAGGGGCCCATTGTCTCATAATGTGTGTGGACTGCAGTCTCTATGTATTTTGAAAATCTAGTTTCTACATATTTTTTCCTACACATTTATTCACTGGGAACTCCAACCTTTATTTCCAAGTTACTCTGGATAATGGGAATGTCATCTGTTTTGCAGGTGTTTGATCGTAAAACAAAGTGTTGTGGGCTACATATTAAAATTTAGACTTGATGATGAACATTTAGCCAAGATAATTACACAGAATTAATTCATTCTAAATTTTTATTTAAAAAGTCAGAACTTTTGTTAAGGAGGAGGCCCCGGGGCAGACCCAGAACACCCTGGAGGGACTACATATCTCATCTGGCCAGGGAACGCCTTGGGGTCCCCCAGGAGAAGCTGGAGAGGGATGAAAATGGATGGATGAACTTTTATTAAGTATTTTATGGTTTTGATTTAGTAAATCCTGGCACATAATCTCATAATTTTAATTTACTGGTATTACTGGGCTTCCATATGTTTGTGAGGGGCTATAATAATATGAGCTATATGTGCTAATATATGCTTTGTAAACCAAAATTTTGAATTGTATTCTAAAAAAGGAAACCAGTGCAGGTTAAAGTGCCTCGTTCTGTGGCCCCAGTGAATTTGTCTGAAACCTCTTTGCTTTAAGTTTACCTGTGGCCCAAAAGGACTAGATCAGCAGCTGCAGTGAAGGCATCCCTCTAGTTGAGTACAGATGATATTCCTTAACAGTGGGAGATGATAATATTGATTGAATAATATTGAATGGTGGTTTATGCGCACAGTATATGTTGTACATGCAGGTGTGTGGCAGTGGGAGTGATGCTGGGAAACGTGGGAAACTCCTCTCACATTCCCAGGACTGATAAACACTCCCTGCTTGGCCGGTCCTGGCTTAGTGACCATGATCCTGCAACTGTGGTGGCTGATTTTGGCTGTGGGTGAGTGAACTTGCGATCGGAAATTCTTCCTTTTAAAACTCTTAAGCTGCATGTGTGTGTGTCTTTCTCTCTGTCTTTTGGGTTGTTTGAGAGTAACCCACAATAAAATGTTAAGTCATGTTCTTTGAATGTAAATAAGGTAACAGACCCCCCGACCACATTTTAATCCTGCAGGAGTGGATGTAGATACGAATATGTCGACCTCCTTTGAGTCTTGTTTTTGCCAAATGCTGCAATAAATGCCACCAGCGTATGCCCTGCAACTACTGCGCTGATAAAATGTTCCTGGAAAGAGTGTTTCTTTAGTGGAGCATATCACTTGCGTCAACAAGCATCAAGAAAATACTTGAGGGAGGTCATATTTGTCCAGATAAACCACATCTACAGCAGCTGTTTGTCTCTCTCCTTCCTTACAGAATGCATCTTTACATGCATCTCAGGCCAGTCGTTTCCTCAGAAGAGACGGTGTGCATTTCAAGTGACTCCTCAGAACAACAAATACATAACTGCTGGCAATGTGAATGGGTCTGTGCAGCTCTGTGAGGACTCCAAATGCTGCGTGGGCTATTTTCTGATCATCGATGGTCACCCAGAGGTTGACCTTCTCGGTAAGAAAATGTGGTAAAAACTTAAGATGTTTGGACTGGTCTGGATTCTTTTCTTGTACCATTATAAGAGTCCTACACATTTTTGCACTTCAAATTTTATCAAATGATTTAGAATCTATTCTGGTTTAATTGATTTTCTTTAATTGTGTTACTGATTTTTTTCTTGCAGCTTGTGACATGGCTGAAAAGTCATGCCCAGATGCAACCTGCAAGGCAAAAACACACAACAGTCGACTCATCAAATGTGTGTGCAACACAGACCTCTGCAACACCAACATCACATGGACCACAGAGTCAGAAGAGCCTCGACCCACCTACTCTTATTCTGTAGGTATGATAACATTAAGACTGCTACCACTCACTGATCAACTTGCAAACAACTTGGTGATGAAATCAGATCCTGACGAGAGTGGGGTATTTGTCTTTTCATCACAGAAAATCTTTATTTATTTGACAGGGGCAATGCACACTGTCTTAGCTGTGGCAGAGTTAGCTATAAGCTGATTTACATCTGTAGTCCCTGGGCAGGAAACAGAGAATAACATCTCTGTTAACAGCCAAGTTGCCAGAATAAAATGTTGGCATCGTGCACTTCTGCAAACCAGAGATATGTTACATTTCATTGTACATATCATAGCAACATATCTAATGTGACATAGTTCAGATTACTTGTACCTGAGCTGAGTTTCTCATCAAGAGGAGGGGGGGGTGTTGGATAGTGTGAGACCAAGCAGTGTATTTTTTAATGAAAGTTCGGGACATTTCCAGCAGTGTTTGTAGTGACAAAACTGGATATTTTTTAAACAAGAGTTTGGAACAAATGTCAAGTACCACACATGAATTTATCCTGAATTTAAAATAAGCAAAGCAGCAGCACTGCCTTGTATAAACTGGTAGTGACTGAGCACCAAAGATTTGTTGCTCTAATGCAGACGGCTGATCTGCTGAACTTAGTAGATCTGTGCTGTATTGCACAGTCTTTTGGTTGACGTTGTCCTCCCATTATCTGACCGTAGCAATAGAAACTCTTTTAATGCGATACAAAACAGATGACTGATCACTTTGTACAATAAACCAGCATCAGCACAACACAGGTCAAAGGTCAGGAGATTATATTGCAGAATGACGTTACAGGGATGGGAACTTTAAGACCTTTTGTTTAGTGGAAAAGTGCCATTAAGTGTTTGTTTTTTTCTCCGAGCTTGAGACCAGCCTTCTACTCCCCTTTAATTTGAAGTTTGACAGTTTGAAGAAATGCTAAGGGATCTTCCAATAAAATTATATCATGATCTGATTAGAATTAGGTGGTTGAACGTCAAACGTCACTGTAACATGTTTTTGGCCACAACTCAAAAATTCATATGCTAATTATGACAAAGTTTCACACAAACATCAAATAGAGTAAAATGATGAGGTGATGAGAGTTTATATCCAAAAGGTCAAAGGTCAACTTCACTGTGACATCACTATGTTCTGCAAAAACACTTATCTGACCATTATTTAACATTATATCACAGGAACAGAAGGGGAGACACTTGGTCAGATAATCAATTGGTGACACTAATCTTGAAACTGTGCTGATTGTATTGATCCTCTGTGCTGCCGGGTGAAGATGTATAGGAATCATCATATCAATCAATCATATTATGCCTAAAAAAACACACTTAATAACTTTCTTTAAGTTCCATTAAAGTCCTCACTACATATATGAGTCTGGACAGACATGGATGTAAACTGCAACCTGACTGGTTAGCGAAGGCAAACAGTCATGAGGGGCTAATTCTAGTTTTTAATATACTATTTTCATTTTATAAGGAAACATGTCAAGTAAGAAGTACATTTGATTGACTTAAGCGGTGTGTTTTTCATCATTCACAGATAATATTAACATACACTCTTTGTTTTCTTCTTAGGTAACAACATGAAAGCTGTTGTAATAATTCTGACTGGAGTTTTGCTGTGCTTCATGATCATTGCTGCCAAACAAAGGAGCCTATTTAAAAAGAAAAGTAAGATCCTTTTTTTCAATATCAAGTTAGAAATTACAAAATATATTTATTAATTTCACTTGGGCGCGACTTCTAGTGCACCTGGTAGAGAGTGCACCCCATATAGGCTGAGTCCTTTGCAGCAGGCCAGGGTTTGAATCCAACCTGTGGCCCTTTGCTGCATGTCATTCCCCTCTCTTTCCCACCTTTCCTGTCTCTACAATAGATGCCTTTGCAGTGAGTCAGCTGTTGATGTTTGCAGGTGTTGCCTGAGAGCACACACAAGAGGAGTTTGTCTTGATTCCTCAGATATAGATAACAAACTTCATCCAAAAAAAAATCCCCACTCCCACATGACTGACTCATCATGGGAAAATGGAGTTAGGGGATTACAGCTGCTGAATGATCATCTTTAGTGGCTCAATAATGGATTCAGATCAGACAGGCTGTTTAGCTGTTGCCCTTAAACGGGTAAAAAGATTTTGTCGTCTCTGTGTTCTATGTTTCTCAAAGGATGAGAGAAAAACATTGTTCAGTCATGTTTCCACATTTTCTAACCTCAGATTCTCATGATGTCTTTGTTTGACCTTGTAACTGTTTCATTCTCATCTGACCTTGGTGTTTATCTCCACTGTAACACTCCCTTTTACCTCTGTCCTTTGTTGCTCTCACTCAGATTTCTATGGCTTTTCACTCGAGCTAGCAGAGAAAATTAACAGTGACTTTATTGTCAGCTTACCTTCAATGTGAGTGTTCATTACAAGACCTGTCTACTCTCATTATTTTAGAGAAGAATCCACCTCTCCTCGATGATTACAGTGTCTCACGGCTGTGCTCCTGCCAAACAACAACAACAACCTCTGAGATTGACGTTGCTGACCTTGAATTGCAGCAGGTAAGCTCAGCTATCACATGGATTCATACTGTATGGTGAACTGTTTGCAAAATATAGATAAGTAATATAGTAATGTCATTTTACCTGCATGTGACCTGTATCTGCATTTTCCAGATTGTGGGCCATGGGCATTTTGCAACTGTTTGGCAGGGGAAATACCAGGGATCCATGGTGGCGGTGAAAGTTTTCCCTGGAGGCTGGAAACATAAATTTACTGCAGAGAAGGCGGTCTATGAGCTCCCACTGATGAAGCATGCTGGGATTGTCCACTTCCTGGGTACTGGCAGGAAACAGGATGGAGGGAGCTGGCTCATCGTCCTGCAATTTGCTGAATATGTGAGTGGCAACCAGTCATTATAGAAGTATTTAACTCTCATAAGCAAATTAATTCTTAAAAAAATGTGACATTTGACCACAACTGAATGCTGTAAGTGGCTATAATCAACATTTTTATACTAACAATCAAATGAGAATGTGAAAACACTGGGCCTCGTTCATAAAGAGTGTGTACGCAGAAATCTGTGCTTGAAGTGTGCCTATGAACGTTTTACACTCAAAACTGGAATTCATCAGTGTTTTTCTACCTGAATTTGTTCTCACTTCGTGATCAAGTTGAGAACCGCCTCAGACTATGCGTGCACACAACTGATAAAGACCTGGCAATTTTAGAAAATGTAAACACACAACTTTAATACATAGGATTTCAAAACCACATTCATTAAAAAGTCTTTAATAGATAAAAATATTTAAAACGGTTCATTTAAGAAAGCATGCACTTATTTGACGCCCTTTCATCCTCATCAATTATTGTCATAATTAAAATGTTTGACTATAAAAAAGTGTCACAGTCCTAGCTTACAGTGGAGTATATGAGTGTGTCCATACTGAAATGTAACAGTTTTGGTTTCCATTGTTTTTATTGAATCTGCCTGTAATGACGGCTACTACCACCAATTTTTAGTGTCATGAAGTTATCATTAATATTATTATTACTATTGTTGTTTTTCTTGTTGATATAAACAGGCATCCATGGTATGTGAAATATTCTGATTTACCTTGAAGCAGGTGCTAGGATGGCATTCTTCTTATTCAACACTTTGTCTGCCATTTTTAGTCACTTTATTCATCTTTATGTAGCAATTTTATTTTATTTTAATTTTTTTTTTCTCTCTTATCTTTATTCTATTTAATGTCTTTTTGTTTTTGTCTCATGCTGCTGTGACATTTGAATTTCCCCTCTGGGAGATCAATAAAGTATATCTTAATCTTATCTAGCCTTACTGGAAGATGCTGCACTGTGTGCCTTCAGGAGAGCGCGCATCAGAGACCGACATAACATATTTGAAGAGAACAAGAAATGGCTTATCAGCTGTTTCCGGCTGCCAAGACATTTAAAGACACTTAAAGGCGGCCTGACACTGGTGTGTCTGGGCCTTAGTGTGCGCATAGAATCAACTTAACTGCTTTCTCCATAATATGCTTTTGGGCAAAGGTATTTCTTTATATTGAGAAATGGGAGCGTGGCAGGATGCTGATTGCTGATAGCGGGAACGCACCTTTCAATTTTGAATCATCCAGATATAGTACTATACACACAGAGCCAACAGATTCATGAATCTGACGGTAGTTGTGCATGCACATTTACCTTATGCAAGTAGTAAGAGCATTTCTATGCACATATTAGTGAATGAGGCCCAGTGTAAAGACTGTGAATGTGGTCACTCATAGTCATGAACTACAGAGGCTTATCACATGAATCTGCAGCTTTACAGTAAGTTTCAGCTTATTGTTAAACTGTTCGGCCTGCACAAGCAGGCAGCTGGTTTCAGAGAAAAAGCTCTAAAATCTCACTGTATACTACCTGCTCCGCACCAATCAGCAGACAGACACAGTTGGAGACTAGCTGATGAACATAGTGGAACATTTAGCAGCTAAAAAGCCCCATGTTTCCCTCAGGATTTGGTAGAGACCTAAAAGTGAGTGAATAGTGGACTTAAATTCATCAGGTGGACACAAACACGACTTCAAATGAATAATAAAGTTGCTCTGTATCTGCTGGATTTGGAAACAGGCAACTGTTTACTAACAATTTCACCATACCAACCTAAAAGGTGGATACATGATTTCTAGAAATCTAGCTCAACTTCTATCGTCTCTCACACTCCTGTCCTTACTGTACATGTGAAGCCGATGTGGCCAGACGCTTTGAACTCTTTAGTGTTCACGTTCTTGGACAGAAATAACTGGCGTCCCTTTGATTTCAGGGTTCTCTCCACTCCTATCTGTCTAAATACACCACCAACTGGATGATGTCACTGAAGTTGTGCCAGTCTTTATCGCAGGGACTTTCCTATCTCCACTCTGACCTTCACAGACATGGTATTGGTCCAAATGTTTTTGTGAACAAATGTGTGCCTGCATGTTTGTGTTGTTGTAGACCAATACAGAAAGTCATCCCCGTATTGTCATGTGAGTCTGTGTGCACATTGTAGCTAAAATATCAAACATGATTAATAATTAGAACAGTTTTTATCAAACAGAATTAAATACATCCAGGGGAGAATTCTTCAGGTGAATGCTGATTTTCAAAATCTGGCTGCACACAAACAGCTCACGTATTACGGGATTTTTTGATTATAAACATGAAGCAGACTTCACAGTTAAACAATATTGCTGAGAGGGTGAGATTTGAATTATTTTGTGTCATCTCACCTGTAGTGCCTGCTAGTCTTGCCAGCCTTTGGGAGGCTGATATGCTTGACGAATGAGGTTTGAGTATTTCTTCAACTAAATAAATGAAAATCTGCTAATTATTATACATGCGTGTAATTTCCTGCAGATGTGCATAAACCTCCTGTGGCCCACAGAGACTTAAGCAGCTCCAACGTGCTCGTGAGAGCAGATGGTACCTGTGTGCTGTGTGATTTCGGATGCTCAACCATCCTGTGTTCTTGTTCGGGACGTCGCTGCTGGCAGAGCCATGCAACAAACATGAAGGTAAGACCCAGGTGGAGCCACAAATTATGGTTAATTCATGGTACAGTGAAATTATAAAAAGGTGAGTAGTCATCTTTGTAAAATATGACTGCTTTTGTGTTCATTAAAATTTCTCCCAGAAGAAATAAAAACATAGAACAACATCTAATATGTGGACACACTGACATTACTATCTATCTGCAGGGTCATGCTCAGTTGGGCACGCTGCGCTACATGTCCCCTGAGATCCTGGAGGGCTCTGTAAACCTGAGCAGCAGCTGGTGTCTCATGCAGGCGGACATCTACGCTTTGGGACTGCTGCTGTGGGAGATCTGGATGCGCTGCTCTGATTTATTTGAAGGTAAACTTCACTGATCAGACATTCATGGAAAGCCATTAGTAACTGAAGAGGGTGTCTAATGCTCCACCTACTGTAATCCACAGAAACTCTGTACCTCAGTGGTTCCCAATTGATCCAGCCACGGTTTCACCTCTCATCCAGGAGGCTTCTTCAGTTCTAATAGACTGGTGCGGAGTCGCAGGCTTTAAACCCTGTGTGGGTGTGAACCCTTACAGAGTCTGTTAGAACTGAAGAAGCTTCTTGGATGAGAGCTGAAACGTCTTCAAGAAACTCAAGCAAGTCTAGCTTCCTACGATATAGCACTTAAGATTACCATGACCTGGATGACTAAGAATCTTCACCAACATTTTCTCAGGACGTTTCTCAAAGACAAATTTAAGAAAACAACTTAGGAAGATACTGGTGGATGAGAGTGTGATAGATTTTTCAGCCAAAGAACACCACTCATCATCATAATTAATCAAAGCTAATAAATATTGCATCAATCAATGCTGTCAGATTTTCACAATTTGAATACACTTTACCTATAGACAGTATCCTGCGGTAATAAATGGATGTTAAAAGTCATGTGTATGTCTCCATCTGCAGGCGGCATCGCTCCACAGCATCTGCTGCCTTACGAGTCTGAGCTGGGAGCCGATGTGACACTGGACAGCCTCATCCGATATGTGTTTCACATGGACAAGAGACCCTCCATACCTAAACACTGGGAACTGCTACCACAGGTATTCTTACACAGGTGCCTCTAACTTGACCATACTTTTTTTGGTTACTACTCGCTAGGCAGCAATGATGATAAATCTACTGGATAGCTCATGCAAATATTGATGATATTTAGCTGGGTTTGTTAATGTACTGACAACATTTGCATAACCTTCAGGGCTCTGTGCTGCAGGAGCTCCTGACAGACTGTTGGGACGGTGACCCAGACGCCCGACTGACTGCTCGCTGTGTTGTGGACAGATTAATCTCTCTTCAGTCTTTTTACTCTCCATGACTTTTTAAGTTGACCTGTTGTAATCTACATATCAAGCATTTGAACTGTGCTCTTTGTGTCTCTGTTTTTTAGTGTTTCAAAATTAGTGATTTATCGATACATCGATTCTGAATCTTTGAAACAGTTTTAATACTCATTTTCCACAGTATCCATACACATATATCACCTGCACTTTCTCGCTTTCTCTTGTTAATGATCATTCTGCTGCTCTCTGCTACTAACCAAGAAGAGAAAAGCCATTGTCATGTCATAACCTTGATATATTTATCTTTAACCCTTTGAAACGCCTTCTGCAAGTATTTAAACCTTTGAACCTTGAGCAAATTGGTGTGGTTTCTTTCAAAAACATAAGAAAAAAGGCAATAATTAACCTAATGAGAAATGTCCCAGAAATTGCACAATTGTAACAGATTTAGAAAATTATTTATGGAAGAAAAAATAGGGGGGAAAAAATGAAATCATTCATAAGAAGGCAAACAATGCAGAGAGGGAGAAGAAGAAAACAGCAAAGATAAAAGCTAGGGGAAAACTATATTTATTATTGTGATTATTACACTTTCAAATTATTTAACAGACTTTTATAATGTCCTTGTTTGTTTTTAATGTTCTTTCTTTTTCTTTTACTAATTTTCTTGTTTTTAATTTTCTCTTTTCACAAATTTCCTGTTAATTTTTTGGGTCATATCATCTTTTGTTGCTCATTGCCTTCTTCCCTTGTTTTTAAAAGAAACTGTGGTTTCGAATATGGTATTGAATATACTGGTAGATGTTTTTCAAGGTATTGTATCAAAGTTTGAAATCCTAGGATCGTGACAACACTACCTACTGTTTAGCTTTTCAGTACATATATATATTTATCAGATTGAACTGTGCAGCTGCCCCTTGTTTAAGTATGATTTCTTTTTCTTTTTGACTTGGACATGTTTCCATTACACTCTCTCTTTCTACTAAAAACTACAACTGGATTAATGATTTATAATCCAGCTACATAATATAAGATTAAAAAGTGTGTCTATAATGGCATAATTTGATTTGATTTCACATTATTGTCAGAAAAAAAAAAGAAATTTGTCTTTCATCCCAGGACGTCAACGGTTTCACTTGAATACACACAATTGTTTTTGCAAGAAAAGAAAATGTTCCTCCTTCACTCTCAGCAGTTGGTTAGTTTGTATTGTTTGCCTAATTTTATTTAACTATAAAAGTGATTTTGGTTTTGTATTTAAATAATACGCTAATTATTAAAAAGACAAAGATACTTCTAGTTATTTACAGTATTATTCCTTTTTCACAGCAGACACTCTGACTTGTCATAGCAAAAAAATAACAGCTGGAGCCATTACTGTTAATGATGGCTCTGTTACATTTAATACACCAGTGAGCGAGTGTGCACAACAGGCCCTTTTTAATTGAAAACATTTTTTTTAAATGTCACAGTAGAAAAAGTACAATAAAATTAATGATGGCTGAATTTCATTTAACTGCTGACTTCCTGGCACTGTGCATGTTGACTCACTGTGATGCTGTCATGGCTTACAAGTGAGCACAACAATCATTAACGTGATAAGTAACACCTGTGCTCCTCCTATTAAAACGGGCTTTTACCTTGAACCCTGGAGTGAACATACCTAAACTGAACACAGCTATCATTATTTGTATTAGCTGCAGCTGTGCTTTTTCTATCATGAACATGTTAAAATGTCTGCTTTAAAAAATCTTATTAATATTTGTATAATTAATTTTTTTCACTGCCAATGTTTCCTTTTCAAGCCAAATTTTATGCTTCCATATTTTCCATAATAATTGAGAATTGAATCTTTCCTTTATACCTCCATTTCTCAAACTATACTGTGGCTTCAACACTTGCACGCATTTTCCTCGACTGACTTAAAGACACTGCACCTATGGAATGTACCGTTGTTTTAAATTCATATCTAAAGGTTTCATCATTTTAATTCTTAATGGTTGCGCGGACCAGCGTTGTGCTGAGCTGTTTGATGTTGTTTATAAAAAGGAGAAAAATCAATAAATATACTTGACAAAAAACACATTTTTCTTGAGTAACATCAGTGCATATGAGAGATAGGGGAATTACAGTGATGAACATATGGGGCAGAAATACAATTGATTGACTTTATTTCCAAAAACACAAAATATGGTGAGTGCGCACACACAAATAAATAAAACAATGTAAAAAATTGGCAGTTTTGGATACTGGCACAAAATAAAGACATCAGAAAACTGCTAATTTAGACAGAGACACGTGAGGTGTTTCTCAAAGTCAAGGATCCTTCCTACCAAGCAATGAGGTGGTTTTAGGATACTGTGATCATTTTGGCACTCTCTAATGTTGTACAATTTGAGCAAATGTAGCAGTATTTTCAAAGTCGTGTGACTTTTAGGGAGAAAATATTTCTGGATTATACTAAAAAAAACAAATAGGTAGGCTAAATGAAACTTTTGTGGCACTTAACACTCTATCACTCTCGTAAATAATTAAGTTAAAAACATTTATGTTTTAGGTTAATCACTGTATTTTAAAAATCTTATTAGTTGACATATTGGAAAGTGTAAAGTATGGGGTTTATGTAGTAGTATTTTTTTATGCTTGTATGATTAAAAACTCCTAGAGATATTAATCCAAATAAATGACAAAGCATCGTGGGTACTTTACACCTGCTGAGGATACACACGTGGATCCTTGAAAATTCTCTGAATGAAGGACTCAGTCCTCGGTAGAATTTGAAATATCCTTAACACTGGAACAGTCCTTAGATGGGATTTGATGATGTAGCATCCTTGAAATTCAGCCATTTAAGGATCCTTCCTTGACTTTGAAAAACACGGACAGAGGTAGAGATACAACACAGAGAAATTAGAAATTAGGACACTGAGGGCCATTCATTAAATTTACAAACATAATAAGAGATTAAAAACATCTGAGTAATGTCTTCTTTAAAATTATTAAAAGATTGTTCTGCATAGATTGGTTTAGTTATTTATTTTTGGTTAAATTACATTAATTTAAGCTGTAGAAAACTCTATGTAGCTATTTATATAACTGTTACTCCATGATAAAATGGAAATATGTGTGACACTGAAGTGAGTCAATAACTCAAAGTCAGGCCTGTGTGTGTTGCCTTTTAAATATAACAATATAACAATGGTTGGGAGTAAACATCGATTCCATTATCATTATCTTTTGTACCATAGAAACACGTAGACCAACTTTTCATCCAAAGCCTGCAGCTGGACTTTTGCCATGACGTAAATGACGTACGCACCCTTTAACAACGGGCGTGGCTTCCTGATGTGTCTGTTTTTTTCTGGTCTCAATGCGGAAGAAAAACACGAAGCTCAGAATTCCTGATAAACTTTAATCGGACCTGAGGCGAGTTTCCACGGTAAGACTTTAATGCTGACACACAGTGAGTACAAATGGCGTCTGTGGGACAAAACAACGAGAAACTACAATAATGACATGATTTAGAGTCATTGTGATTTCTGTCATATCATACCTGTAATGTGGAGCTGAATGGAGAAAGTGTTGCGAAATTACTGATACTTGTTGAGGCACGAGACTACAGTTTATGTCACGTCATTAACTGTCATAAGTGTGTTTATATAATGTGTCTGAAAATGGCTAAATTATGTTAGCAAGAGGTATAGTTTTTATTCAAGTATTTTGTTAGTAGTTGTAATAAAGTTTTGCTTTATTACAATACTGTTGTATGACAGTGTTGGGGAGTAGTGAAGTACATGTAATTAAACTAGTAGTTTAACCATATTTTGCCATAGTTTGCTGGTAGTCAAGTTATATTTATATTTGCATAGGGATTCAAATAGCTGATAACTTTTTTTGCCTTTTTAAAATATAGTTAACTACAGAAACTACAAACAATTTGGGACTCCCTTCACCTGTATTAATCATAAATTTTGATTACTGCTAGTTAATAAATGTTCAGAGAAGGTGTTGCATGCTATTTTAGAAGTTACCTGACTAACTGATTCACCGTGCTTGGTGCATTTACTACACCTGGTTTCTGAAGACAGGTGTCTGACTGATGGACACTGTGTACAAAACCCAAGCTGGCATTCCTGCACTGTGTGTGTGACCTGTAAACAAGTGGACACTCTGCAGTAAACTCAATTAAGTGGCATTTATGTTGGCATCAGTGGCATGTGACCTTTTTTGTGGAATATTTTGTTATAATTTTGTATATTAGGTAGGCTACATGTCAATTTGATGAGGATTATATTTATTTATTTTTAAATAGGAGGCTTTAGTTAACAAACTATCTATGTCAAGGTTATCTTTGCTGTAGTTCAACGCCTTCCAGTGTAAAGTAATCATTAGCTTGCGAAGCTGTGCTTTCAAAGTAGCTTCCCCAACACAGGTTGTGACACCATGTACCCTTTTGTAAAATTTATGTTGATATATATAGTATGGTGGTCGCCACATTTTCTATACACAAGTGCTGAAACAATTATTCCATCAATGAATCATCAACAGTTTTGAACATTTAGAAATAATTTAAGGTCCTAAAATGTGAACATTTGCTACTTCTCTAAATGTTGTGTATTGTAAATCTTGTTGGACAAAACAATTATTAATTAAAACATATGATTAAATAAGACAAAAGACAAAAAGAATACTGTGACATAAAAAATGTACAGGTGGGATGGAAAAAAAAACACCCAGAAAGACAGCTATATATGCTCACCACCAAGTTACAATGAGACACAAATACTTACAAATATTTAAAAAGTAATACTAGAGATTTTTGCTCTTCTGATACTGTATGATAAATTACAGAGTACAGCCCCCTGGCAAAATGTATTGTAATATTGGGACCTGTAAAACTGATTTAAATTTTCTGAGTTTTGGTCAAACACTTTTTACATGGCACACTTATAGCAGATATAACATGTATAACAACCAAATGTGGAGACAGATACAGAGGATATCCTCTCAGAAACTACAGAACTACATTGTTTGGAAAAAAAAATTGAATCTACACCTACATATTAAGTTATATAATACGTTACAGTGTAGTAACACTTCTAATAATGGTTGCTTTTAACATGAGATGTATTTATACTTAACATTAAGTGCATTTTCTTTCTTATTGTTCCCTCAGAGACCTGAAGTATTTGACCTGTCAGGTCAAAAAACATAACACCATGTGGCCAAATCAAGGTGAGAATCATACTTAATAAGCATACAGTTATTTTGTCTTATGCCTGGTGTTGTAAAGAAGAAAGTGTGTATGTGTGCTTTTATGTATACCAGGTCCTCCTCCTCCAGTGGGTCCACCAAACCCTGTCTTCCCACCTGGCTACAACCCTGCATATCCTACTGCACCCCCATCAGGTGCCTTCCCCCAAGCTCCACATCCAGCGTACCCGGCTGGGCCATACCCAGCTGGTCAATACCCGGCTGGCATGCACCCAGCCATGGTACCAAATGCACCTGGAGCGATGCCTTATCGACCTCCAGGGGTTTATCCTGCAGCTCCAGGTGGATATCCAGTAGTCCCTCCGGCAGGTGTTCACCCTGGTCCGTATCCACACTCCCCAAAAGGCCATAAAGCCCACAAAGGCCACAAGGATAAACACAAGGATAAACACAAAGGTCATTATCCTGGAGGGTTAAATCCCATGGCTGGAGCATGCGCCGGAGGATTGGCTGGAATGGGCATGGGTTTGGTCGGACATAAAGCCCACAAAAAAATGAAGAAGATGAAGAAGATGAAGAAAGGACCCAAGGGCTTCAAACATGGCAAGGTGAGCTTTAGCTGTAAGGCAGGCCACATTAGAATTGTTTGAAACGGCTCCTCCTGTAGGTGAAGTATTAACGCCAGTGCCAGATAAAAAGATGAAACTTGAACCTGCCTACGCCCCTCAGCCTCAGGGCCTCTAACTTCACGTCAGTCAGTGCTGCGAACACACACCATCACCAAACAATGCCAATTCAGTCGTGACTCAATGTGTGCAAAGCACAGCACAGCTGAAGAGTCACAGCACCGTCAGGGATCAACATGGTTTAGGTTTTACTTGAAGAGATAGTAATTATTATCACTGAGATTAATGATATCATCACGGCACATCAAAACAAACAATAACACGTTAGTAGATTGTATTATGAAACATGATGATGCCTTATGAGCACAGACAAAACACTTGATGTAAATAGTACTAATGGAAAGTCATTTGTTTTCTACACCATTTGAGGTAATTAGTGATTCAACTGCAGATTATTTTTTATTGTTGATTAATGTGCAGAAGAAATGTTAGAACACAGTAAAAAAAATGCCTGTCACAGGTTCCCAGAGCCCCAAAGTTCCATCTTAAAAATGCTTAATTAATTTTGTGTTTAATAAAAAGCATCTCGTATTAAAGTAAACCCTTGCTGTTTGTGTTTAAAACTGTCATTTAAGCTGTATTAATATGAATTCATATAAATCTTTCTGTGTCTCTCCACAGTCCTCCTCCAGCAGCAGCAGCAGCAGCAGCAGTAGCAGCAGCAGCAGTGACGAAGAGTGATGTGACCAGTTCAAGACAAGGCTCTCACGGAAATGTCACTTTACAAAAGGGCAACCTGACTATTAAAAATAAACACACTAAAGTCATATTTAACACTTATAACAGGTTGTAAAAATGAAAATGCAGAGATGTATTATATCTTAAATGGGCTATTTATACTAGAAATGCATGCATATACTGTTGCTGTGAGCATTTGGCAGCGTTTGCATTTTCGTTTCCTTTTTATTTTGTGGTGTTTATGTCAGATATTTCACTGTTACGGTTTCTGTACAACAGTGTAAATATGCAACAAATACACGTGTACAAACATATTGAAATCATTTGAAGAGGGAGTGCCATAATGTTTTTAAAAGAAAATCTAACACTGTGATTTAGTAAAAAAGCATATGTATATTAAGTTTTTTCATTTTTCATTAAGATTAACCTACTGTAGAGTAGGGCTGCAATGATTATTTGACTAATCAATGACTAATCATCTATTAAAATAATCGGTGACTATTTTAGTAGTCGACTAATCGGTTTGAGTCATTTTTCATAGAAAAGTACTATAAAAGTACCCCAAAATACTCTTATTGCAGCTTCTTACGTTCAGATACTGGCAGCTTTATACACTCTCCCGTGACAGTGAACTAAAACCCTTTGGCGTGAGTATGAAACAAGACATTAGATGACATAATTTTGGGGTTTGGGAGAGACAGACCGACATTTTTCAACATTTTAACACATTTTTTGAGAAAATGATTAGTCGACTAATCGAAGAAATAATCGACAGATTAGTCGACAATGAAAATAATCTTTACTTGCAGCCCTACTATAGAGGTGGAGAACGATATTAAATGTATTCATTTAAGCCTGTTGATTTTTTCCTTTAATGTTGACCACTACATGACTGCAGAAAATAGTTATTCTGTATTGCTTTGTATCTGCACTAATCATAATTACATGTAATGGATCTTCAATTAATCCGGCTCCATAAATAGATCTATGTAAAAACTCAAAGATGTGTCGTCACTATGATGTTAAATAAATAAAAGCTGAGTTGCAGTACACTTTACGCCCACTAGTGTCCCTATAAACAAGTATTTTATTAAAGTTTGTAAATATGAACATATTAGAGACATTTGTAAAGCATACGTCAGTTTTATAATATATGTTTGACTACATATAAAACACGTGGGCCATCAGTAAATTTCAACAACAGTCGCTTCCTGTTGTGACGTTTTAAACCAATTCAACAATGTTTTTATTGTGCGCAATAACTTATTTTTTAATGATATCCTTTCATTCCCATGTGATATTGTGTCCTACAAATGTGCTATAACATGTTTATTTCGTGGATGTGATTTCGGGGCAGCCTCTGGTCAAAGTGAGGTTGGGGGTTTGGGTTGGGTGAAAGGGGAAAGTTCAGAGGTTATAATTTTGTTGTCTTTGTGTAAAGGAGTGGAGCTCGATCTCACATCACTCTTCCCTCTTCCCCGAGTCCTTTCTAAACTCTCCCCCGGGTTTCTACCCTCCCGAACCTCTCCCCTTCTACCCTTACAACCCCAACCCTCCCCCCGGTCACGTATCAGCACACGACTCAGGTGAGTTTTACTCTGATGTTTGGTGTTTTTATGTTTTTCTGTTGTGATCAGAAGTATAGCGGAAAGAAATCGCGCCCAGCAGCTAGCTCGCCGCTTGTCCAGCATGCTAACAGGCCGCACCGTGATAAGCACGCACAGTCTGCGTACGGAGCTAGCTTAGCTAGCCACCGAGAAGTTTGATTTTAAATGTTGCTTTTAAAAACGCCGTCTCCTCTTTAGCGCTTGTACTTCATCAAAGAGGACCTAACTACAATGCCACGAATGCTTCTGATATTTGGTCAGCTGTTACTAACGTTGACTAATTACGCTAACTAGCTAGCTTTGCTAAGTAGCGCACGCATGCTCCATTCATTTCCCCAGCACGGTGAGCAACCAACATGCTAAACGGCTAACAGACTTACAAGAAGCGTTAATAGTTAATGGACTTACTTTAAACTAAGCAACACACGCGAAGTAAGCATTTACATATCAGCTTTTCACACCAAACATACTTGTGAATGTACTTTACGAGATTTAGGTCTAACTGTAGCAACGGGGGAGTAATTGCACGCACATTTGTTGTTAAACTTGATTCAACGCTAATGATGAAGACGTCGTTAGCATACAAGCCATATGTTTTTTTTTAGTTAGCATGTAGGTGAATTCAGTGGCAGTTAGCTTGTTTGGAGTCAGGTAACTTGTGTCGGAGCAGCATTGAGATGTTTGAAAATTAATGCACCCAACCAGCAGCGTGTAGTTGGCACAGTCACAGTGAGTCCTTAGCTATTTTTTTTATGATTCATCGTAGTACGCACCAGTTTTCCGTTAGCATGAGCTGTGACACAGATTTATCATCTCCTGTTTGAATAGGTTCATTGAGAAGAAATGTGTGTAATGGAAGTATACACATCATACATTTGCACATTTTAAGCGTTGGACATTGAGCCAAAGTATGTTACATGATCTGGTTTGATTTAACTTGATGTTTTATTTTAACACAGCCTATTAAGATAATTAGTTTGCGAACTAGGTAAATGGACCTCTGTATAGTTGCCAACACTAGGATATAAATGAAGGTTACTATTAATCTCTGTGGTTGGGAATGTTCCTGTAACTCAATGCTGAGGAGACATATTTAGTGTTTACCACCTTGTTAACCATGTGGAAGTCAGTGTTATCAGGCCACTTCAGTTTTAGAGGTATACCTTTTGTTATCCCTAATGTGCACCAATGTTAAGTATCAGTTTTCTTTACTGAGCTGCAAGTCAGTCTTCACACATGATCATCCTCTGTATGTAATTTCTTGTCTGCTATGTGCCTTTAGATCCATCTCGGTGACCAAAGACCCCAGTTCTGTACGGACACCAAGGTTGCAGTTATGGACTCCGGTGTGATTGAAGGAGGCCTCAATGTCACCCTTACCATCAGGCTGCTCATGCATGGCAAGGTGAGATCACCCATCAGCTGCTTGTGTCGGCAATCTAATAGTCTATGACATTATGTTTATGGAAATGAAGCTCCCCGGGGATGTTTAAAGGGCAGGGACTATGTGATGACTAAGGGTATTGACTGGGTGATGGGATCCTGTGTCACAAAGACAAGTGGAGTGGTGTTTTGGCATGTTACTCTGTTTGAGCTTTTGTATCGGAGACTACATTTGCCTCATGTCTAATTGTGTTATCTCCCAAGTTGAACATATTTTGCTAAAACATGACTATGTTTCTCTTGGCTGCTCTTTAGTTTTTTCCAGAAATAAACAGGGCTGATTTACTGAGAGTTAAACCCTCACATGCCTCTCTGAATAATCACAGAGCAGCTTGAAAGATCAAGTTATATCACAAGCTGCCATTTCTGCATTGGACACTAGGTAGAAATTTGCAACCAGGAGGCATGACACTGCATTTGCCATCATCACCAAACCATCCGGCTTTCATGACGGCAGCACAGCCACACACTTGTTGCATCTTTCAGTCCCACTGTGGCCTGTTGTTGTTGTTGTTGTGGCTTCAAATACTGAGATGCCACGTGGCAAGAAGTGCCGGCTCAAAATCCAACTCTGACATGTCATCTTTTACCACAGGCATACCAAACTGTGATATATCCAAAAAATTATCCCCCAAAAGCTCTGTTAGCGCATAGCATCCCAAAAGAGGCCCCAGCACTAGCTAGGCATCAGCAGCCTACAGATACTGTGTGCTTGACTGCATCCTGGATCTCTCTGTGGTCAACAGCACCATCTTGAGTCTGTGTGGGATGAGACAGAAATAAAAACTGTTGGGGAGTTCTTGATGGATCAGGCTGTTTGAGTGTTTACACTGCTTACAGTGACAACTGTTCTTCTTGTCCAAGTGTTAGGAAACCATATAGCTTCACTTATTGAAGGGTTTTCATTGCCTGGTAAACAAGGCTTGCTGTAGCCAGAGTGTTAGGAAACAATGACAGGTGTAAAAAGATGATTAATCAACCCAATAAATCGTTACCTCTTTTTCTATTTTAGGAAGTCGGAAGTATTATTGGAAAGGTAAGCTGCTGTTTAATAATACTGATATTTGATTGTCATGATTTGAAGGTCTGTGTGTTAAGGTCATAATGAGTCTGACTGTGATTTGATTCTCTTGCTTATAGAAAGGTGAATCTGTGAAGAAGATGAGAGAAGAGGTGAGGTCTTCTTTCTTTACTCAGTGTAAATGAATACTAAGAGGCCACAGTTAGCAGATTGGCACAGTTTGTCTTTACTATAGGAAGCCTTCCAAATTGCTTCTTATAATTTCTTGCTTTTCTCTTTGTCCGTAGAGCGGGGCTCGCATCAACATCTCTGAGGGCAATTGTCCTGAGAGGATCATTACTTTGGCAGGTCCAACCACCGCCATCTTTAAAGCATTCTCCATGATCATTGAAAAGCTGGAAGAGGTAGGTCACAATATATGCTGACTAATGGATTCCCAGGCTGGCAGCAACCATCCCAAACGCAAACTAGATTAACCTTTGCCTCTGTATCTTTTTTCCAGGACATAAGCAGCTCAATGACAAACAGCACAGCTACCAGCAAGCCCCCAGTGACCCTACGCATTGTGGTCCCTGCCAGCCAGTGTGGCTCTCTCATTGGGAAAGGTGGCTGCAAGATCAAGGAAATTCGAGAGGTATGCGAAGAAAAGAGAGTGTAATACAAAACCATGCAAGCCCCATTCCCTCCAGCATTAGCTTTCTACCTGTGGAATTCAGCACATCAAAAACGGATACACTGAAGGTCATTTCACTCCTGTTTTGTGTTCCAGTCAACTGGTGCTCAGGTACAAGTGGCAGGAGACATGCTCCCCAACTCCACAGAGAGAGCCATCACCATCGCTGGTACTCCCCAGTCGATAATTGAGTGTGTGAAGCAGATCTGTGTGGTCATGCTTGAGGTAAGTGGACTCATAAAAGCCGTGGAGCAAATGAAGTGGCAGCTGTTGACCCGTAAATGAATGATGTGGAATAGTGTGATCTTTTGGTTTTTGGCTGCTGTGTGTTGGGTTTTGGACCAGGGATGTT